AACACTCCGAGTGAATAGGAGCCATAATGTTGTAAACAAGGTGGCTCGAAAACAAACAAACTAGCTATAAAAAATTATTTAACCTCCAGGTTAACTTTCACAGATACTAAAGGATATTAACTTTCACCAGGTTTCTTTTTACTAAGAAAAGTAGTAGTCACAAGTCAATCAGCCAGTTTGCAGTTTCATCGAACTTGCAAACTGGCTGATTGCGGTGAAATTTCAGCTGCTTTCCAATGAAATTTCAAGTTGATCGAAATAAATAATGATTTTAATAGAATTTATTCTGCTGTGAGGAAACGAGTCGGAAGATTTTTCGAGAGAACTTGTTTTAGTGCAGGTGGCGAACTCGCAAAGGTAGTAGGGGGTTAACTTCCTCTGGTAAAAACCCTTAGACATTCACCTGACACTGAGCTGACTTCGTGGCGCTCTGTTGTCGAAAAGTCTGTAAATATTAAATATGGGGAAGTGACCTGACTATTTCAACAGGAAGATTAATTATCTTAACTGCGTCCCTATATATATATAGTAAATGTTACAACCAAAGTATATAAAATGGTGCCTCTGGAAGTCTATAATGTTTTTCTCATATAAATATACATATATATATATAACTAACTGCAGACAGTACTGTTTCGGCCTTCTTGGCCTCATCAGTGCAGTGCTGATGCTAGGATGGAGGTAAGGCCATATAGCCACCCCAAATGATCTCACACATGTGGGATCATCTAAGCCATGCCAGAGTGCTCAAACTAGAAAAACTAGTGAGCATGCATAATGCTAGCAGCAATGACTCATCCTAGTAGAGTGCTCAATTTGGACATGAAAGCAAAGCTTTGTATGCCTTCACAGATACTAAAGGATATTAACTTTCACCAGGTTTCTTTTTACTAAGAAAAGTAGTAGTCACGAGTCAATCAGCCAGTTTGCAGTTTCATCGAACTTGCTTTATATATTAAAGCTTTATATATATATATATATATATATATATATATATATATATATATATATATATATATCTTTGCATCATTCTGAAAATTGACTAAGATCTCCTTTCGACCGTTCAGACTTCGTTCGTTTATCTTCTACGTTGAGGATCTTAAGTTTTCGTTGTCTATAAAGACAAAATTCTTGCAGTTTCTCCCGAGATTTAGCACACGGAACCTGATGAACTAGCCCTCCTTTCCGCAAATTTGTTTCCATCATGAATGATGGAAATCAAATCTCGGGAGAAACTGCAGGAATTCTTTCACAGTGTATGCGTGTTGTTTTGTGAATAAACACTGTAACGTATCTTAACTTGTTTGTGTGTCCTTTTAAGCAACGCGATATGTCTGTAATGACCAGAGTGCCAAATTTTATTCCTTGATTTTGATCTTCTCTACACTGTGCGTAGTTCATAATCTGATATTTCAAGGTAAATGATCGAGAAGGCGCCTTGCGATCATCTTTGTTTACTTTGTTAGTCACGCAAGCGCGAAAGCGTTGCGACCGATCACGTTTACGCACCGTTTTAGGACAACTCGGCATCTATTCTTCAATCAGTTATTAAGAAAACCTAAGATCCTCAACGTAGAAGATAAACGAACGAAGTTTGAACGGTCAAAAGGAGATCTAAGTCAATTTTCAGATTCATGCAAATGATCTTCGACGCGAGCGCGATTGAGCAAACACATGGATTTGCGTTGTTTTTAAGATGTTAGTGGGTGAAAGCTAGAGATCTTCCCGCGGGTTCGAGGCAATCCGCGACCTCATTAGTGTATAAAATTTGCACTGATATGCTTTTTTCAGCCCGATTAACGCCTGCATTTTGAGAATTCCTTCGTACAAATTAGGGAATTTTTGACATGCAAATCAAGGTCAAAGAGAAAGGTCTCCTCTGATCACGCTGGTACGAAAAATGTTTCGGCTGAAGTTTCCATATTTTGTCTGTGAACTAACTGAATACATCTTGTAACTTGTAGCAAGATTTCCGTGAGCTATTTTATTGCAGTCGCTGCGTGCTGGACAAAATCTGTGACATTAACACTTTCTATCGCTGTCCACAGGGGTGGTCTGGCCAAAAATCATTTTTAGCTTGTGGCGACGCAAAAAAAGAGAATTGGAGAATAACTAAACTATTTTTGAAACATGTGTCCTAAACCCTTTTCATTGGCAAAAAAAAAACTTTTTTTCCGACGGGAAGTCGAGAGGACCGCTCTTAGTGAGAGGAGCACTTAAGTGTGATCAGCATCAGCAGCATTTGAAAGAGTTGCGATAGACATACAATTGTGAGCGCTACAGGGAAGCTACCTGATTATTTTCATAACCCGATTGATGTCTTCATCACGACCTTCTGTCGTATTATAATTTCCGCTCCTTCCACAAAGCAGTGTTTCATATTAGTAACTAAACTTGACCAACAGCTAAAATATAGATTAGGAAAGTCCCTTGTCATCCAAAGAGTCAACAGTACAGTTCAAAAGGCAGGAGGTGACACCAAACCTAACCATCCATGGCAAAGTTAGGGCCAGGCCTGGGACAATTACGCCATCTGCGGAGACTTTCCCTTGATCCAGCTTTCTTTGAAGTGCCTCAAAGGGAACATAGTCTCCAAAACCAATTGTTGTAAAGGTAGTAAACCAGGCGTATAAGCTGGTCATAAAACTCCATCCCTCTGAGTAAGTGGCCGACGCGGCACACAATATGTGAAGAGCAACTGCTAATAAACTCGCAGCAAGGAAAGTTTTCTTCTTGATATGTTTCGGTTCACCTCACTTAAGCAAAACAGTTTCCGTTTTGATAATCGTGTACCGAAGCAAAGAAGCAACCAGTTCTCCAGCGGTTTTGAAGGCCAACATGCTAATAGGAATTCTGAAAAGACAGATTGCGATGGTAATTCCTTGGCCGAGACCTGTTTTAGGAGTTATTTTTCCATACCCTGTCAAACAAACGAACATTTACATATGTATTTACTGAGCCCAGAAAACGTAATGTAGAAAGGCCTAGGGCTCAACTTCGAAGGTAAGACGAACTTTAGATAGTGCATTGGAGCATTACGTTATCGATCCTCTCCGTAAGAGGCCCTAGCACCCTACCCCTTTCGCCCTCTTCAATTCGGTCCCACCGCAATCGGGTAAAAATGATGTGCTTGTCCGTTCTTTAAATTACCCTTTTAGAGGAGATTAAAACTGCTTATTCGTTTCTAGAGCCCTGAATAGATTTCTGTTATCCTTTCCCTCGATGAATGATCTCAGTTACTTTACCTATTGTTGTGATGGCAGTGAAAACAAAGTCGAGGCTATTCCAGAAATTCCAATCCTTTTCGTTTCCTGTTGTCATGGCGACAGCAGCTCTCCTCACAAAGCTGTCAAATTCGTTGTCAGTGATATTAAACTTAATCTCAATGTCTGCCCTCAGATCTTTCAACATCCTTTCCATTCCGTTGTGAGCTAACTCGCTTCTTTGCTCGATAATGGTAAAAATCCAAGCAATGAAACTCGCATATGCATAGATTACTGCAAAACGCAGCAATGTCTTTCTAAGTAATGATGCATTATCTATAAATGGAGAGAACATGTTTACAATAATGATGGGAAAAAAAATAAAGCTGTGAACATAGCATCGTGTTGGACATTACAGTGTTGACGTGATACTCCGCAAGGCGGTTTCTTCTATTTCTTTCATCCAAGAGGAAGGGGCATGAACTTCGCTCTATTAATCGACCGTACATTTGATTATTTGAACTCATACATCAACATGCCCGAACACGTTTACATAACAAATCAACAAACAGTTCCCAGGAGTTGAAAATCTTCGAAAACATTCAGAAATTTACTAGCAGGAGGCTTGCTGAATATCCATAACATCTCCTCCAAATCATACCTTCCATACCATGTCATCCATATCATGTCTGGATCAAAGACAGTCAGAAAACTCGGTCATACAAACAAAAAAGCTGGTCGAGACACACGCACTACAGAACCTGCTAACGTTTCTAGGTAAGGAAAGTTCCTATCCCTGTTGCGACGCGCTTTTGTGAAGATTTTGGGCACTGTCTTAATAAAACTTAAACAGAAACGTCCACAATAAAATTTAAAGGTATCATCATTTTTTTCTTTAACTTAGCTGAGATGGGCATGCAGAAACTAAAACACTGACCTGCACGAGATATTATTTCCACGCAGAGAAAAACAATGACTTCGTGTTTTGCAGAACGAAGCAGATTGTTTGTTTCAAATGCAAATCATTAATACATTGTGTTCATTACCAGATCACTGTCATTTGAGAGGTTTCGAACAGATAAACATCGCTGTTGATGGTATCAGTAGAAAATTCAGATATATGTTAAAATTCATTAAAAAAAACAAGTTAATAGATAGTTCAGTGTCCACAAACACATAATTTGCATGCTCACTGAAACGAGCAGAGGTATTAGTCCGCCAAAAGAATGTTGTGCTGCGAGTACAGGCAGGTGAAACTTACACATTTTCAATTTTCTTGAGGCTGCATAAACAATTGAGAAAAGTTTCCACGTTTTATTTTTAATAGATTAAAATGAATGAAATATGTTTTAAGTCCACTGAAGAATTAGTTTTGCTGTTCTCCAGCTATAGGAAGTATCCTAGTCTGAAACTTGGCCTCGACTAAGGTGAGAATTTAAGAAATCCAGTTTTATATCAAGATAAAAGATAACCGCACGCAAAACTAGAACATAGGCTACAAAATTTACAGGTTTGAATAGTTAATCAAGATTATTTTCTTTGTATGCTGAATTTAAATTGCTACCAAACGACTTTCAAACCTAACTGGTGTTTGATACAAATATTCGCTTTCCTAGTTTATTGGATCATTTACTTAATAGGCAGTGTAATAACAGCATATAGACTTATCTCCAAGATATCCTTAGTAAGAAACAGTGTTAAAGTTTTAAGATGACCTGGGTCACGTGTCACATAACCAGCCTGAACAATCTTTCACCAAGTACGTTTCAATTGTTAAAACCTTAGTCAGAATTTTAACTAAAGTCTAGTTGACTGATTTTCAAAAACTGATCCAGCATCTCGATTGCGCTGTTCTGGTGTAACAACATAGCTTACACATCGACCGCAAGCTATCCTTGAGCAGAACTCCCAACAGCGATTACGAAAACTTCGTATTTCACCCAGAGAGTCGACGACACAGTTTAAGAGACAGGACATGATGCTCAGTCCAAAAATTAAAGGTAAACCAACGATGATAGTGTCAACAATGAAGCTGTTTTCCCAATATTTTTCTCGGTGAACCTTTTTCTGAAATGGTACATAGTCCCCGAAACCAATTGTTGTGAAAGTAATGAACCAGGCGTATAAACCCTCTGTGAAACACCATTGTTCTTGGAAGGTAGATAACGTGGCCGCAAATGCGAGAAGTGTTAACATCAAAACACACGTCGCAAGAAACGTTTTTTTCTTAACATGTTTTGATTCCTCTCTCTTTAGGATAACTTTTTCAGCTTTGATAACAAGGAACCGAAGACAAGAAGCAACAAGTTCTCCCGTAGTTTTAAAGGTCAGCATGCACAAAGGAATACCAAGAATACAAACTATGATGGTTATCAGTTGCCCAAGACGTGTTTTAGGTGTTATATTTCCATATCCTACATAAAATCAAGCAACCACAGTTAAGTGAATAATGTAAAAAATAAATAAATGAATAAATAGAGAAATATCAAAGAGAAAGCGAGGAGAATCACGCATAATTGTTACCTGGGGTTTACTTTATATTTGTACGTTGTTAGGTTTTAGTTTGGTTTTTAAATCGTTTTATTTTTACGTTATGCCTTGGCTTTTTGCTAATTCTCTGTTTATCCTCCTTCTTCCTTGATCGAAGATATAATCCTATTTTCGATATTTTTCTTATTCTTGCTGACACGATAAGATCTAAACTTAGACATGATTTTGCAGCAGTCCACATGGTTATAGAAATAGACCGGCGTACCTCTTTACACTTGTAGCTTGAATGTTTTGTTTACCCATTTCAATTCATGTGATAATACCTAAGAAAACTGTTTCTTACAAAACGTGTTCACATGCACATGTACACAAAATTAACAAAAAGTAAAGTTGAGAATACTGTTGAGACCGGATATTGGTAAACAATCCTGCAGACTGAAGAGGTCTATTTGAAATCCGAGCTCTCCATTCTCTTTTTGAGCCGACCTCGCTCATAGAGTCGTATCATGTCATTTTTTAGTCAGAACATTTATTCAAGGTTATCTTTGTACAATTACCTACTGTCGATAGAGTTGTTGCCACGAACATAAAGCTGATAGGAAAAGTCCAGTCTATTTCATCCCCAACCGAAAAGACTTCTTTGGCTCTTCTTGAAAAATTCATGAACTCATATTCTGTCATGTTGTATTTATTCTGCATGTCTGTTCTTAGATCCTTCAACATCCTATCCTTTCTGTCATGGACTGATTCATCCTGGTGCTCGATATAGGTGAAGACCCAAGCAACGGCTAATGTATAACCATAGTATATTGACAACCTCAGTAACACCTTTCCCAGTAAAGAATTCATTTATCGACTCTGAAAAAAAGCCAAATATTGAATGTTATTTTTTTTCTTTGAGACCTTTTTCCCTTCTTTTTTTCCTAACGAGGCTTAAAAGTTTCCTCCCTTACTCATATTCTTTATTCTCATGAATATTTGCAATTTAAAAGTTATCAGATCAGAGACTTTGTGCTCCCGGTGCATTTTTCATGGGTAACCAAATTTTCTATCAACCAGGTAATTTAAACATTACGTCTTTTATCAGCGACACTTTCAAGAAATAGCGCCTTTGAGTTTAGGTTTATCTATAATTATTTGTCGAGTGATGAATAATTGAAGATTGTCATGAAAATTCAGTCAATGTGTTTCCACCTGCTCATTTCTTAGTTGACTCAAGCTTAGCTGAAGATTCTTAGTTATGTTGAAACGTATTTTGCGCAACAACTGTTGGAGATATCAAAGAACAGCTAAAAATATATTGTAAGTGAAAATGCAACCGTTGCAATCCTCCTTTGATTTTGTTGTTTTGTTTTTAAGGTTTAGAGCAAATTGCTACTAAAATAATTATGTAGATTTCAAGGCTATTTGCATTAATATTGAACTCTTGCGCTTTTATTGTTTGTTTGCTTTTTTTGTTTCCCTCTGCATTTTAATCCTTTTCGTTGATATAAAAGGCGTGTAAGTGAACATCAGTTTAGTTTAAAGATATAAATGATGAAGAAAACCGAAAGAAATAAGTTATGTTACCTTTACTACCAAACTGTCTTAAATTGTCATGTGGGTAATCCCAGACTCGCGTCTGTTTTTATCGAAATTTACAGTTGTATCTGATTACTGTGTTTTTCTACAATCGACGTATTCAGCACGACGTAATGAAGTCGAAGTATATCTCCATCTTTATGACTCTATGGGAAAAGGAATAATAGCTGGGTAACGAATTAGCTATAGCAGGCGGCTAATACGACTTCGCCATGAGAACCGCCAACAGCTGCATGTATATCGAAGACAGATTTTTCTATTTCAACCCATACAGTATATAATGGTAGCCAAGACAAAAATAAATCTTCGAAAAAATAAAAAGCTATGATGACTCATAGGCATAGTAAGCAGGTTAGTAATAATTTGGTGCGATTTACAACCCACAGCTACACTTCATTGGAGGCACGAGCTCTTTGAATTCAATACATTTGGCAACAAACAGGGCAATAATTATTAAAGTTACACATGTTAAAGATACACAAGAGTCTGCGTAGGAGTTCATAATGGGAATTTAAAACTTCCACATATCAGGTAAACATATATATTTTAAACGACTGAATTACGGGAAATTCTGACTTAAGCATCGCTGGTAACGGTGATAGAACTTACACTACCAAAAGGACACAATACTGCTTTGGACAAAAAATTGGAAGTGAAAATACACACCTGCAATGCTGCTGTGTATATAAGATTATTCAAGACTTACTAGATAACTGCTGCTACATTTTGAAATTACGAAGCCGCTTATCAATAAACCATTTTAGTCGTTAGACATACGTAGCAACCAGGCCCGAATAGTTGCGAAAGATGAATTAATTAATTGATTAACTCAAAGAGGATGATGTCAGACAAACGACGAAGAGGTTTAGTACACTCTTGGCGACAAAGAGCAAGATCCGGCGAATTAATACTTACATATCTATTTATTCATTTGTATATTTTATTTACATCTAGCTCTGAAAAGAACCACGCACCAAATAAAGGAGAGAACTACAGAAATCAGATATAGACTTTTTCAGTTCATATCCTCGCTTCTGTTGCTGCAATTATAATTACTCAAATATATCAAAGTGAATTTTTGTTAGTCAATGGTCCACGCTACAACATAATAATTCAAATCCTATAGTGAAAGGCAAGTCAGATATGTGACATTACATACTGAACTTAATTAAAACCCACACTAAGTAGCCAGTAATGGTTATATAAACACTTCGAGGCGACACTTGAAATTGGAAATGACACTACTCTCAAGCCACTATATTTTGCTTCCGATAGCAAATTAACAATTGGTTCATACATCAGCGTGCTTTCATCGAGATATGAAGCACGCGGGAAATTTGGAGAGCACGAAAGATTAGCTTCTTGAGTGCTCTCCAAACTTCCCAAGTGCTTCATATCTCAATGAACGCAGAGCTGACGTATGAACCAATTGTTTCATAACATTTTCAACCCGATGGAAAATTTATTTTTCTCGAGGGATTTGTCTGCTGACGTCATGAGCGTGCACAATAGGAATATGAAGCACGCTCGCGCAATTGAATTTGATTACACAAATTTACTACCTATGTTATAATACATATTGAATTCCATGATCCTCTTTGAATCACGCCGGTAGATGACGCACTAGAAGTTCTAATTTCAGGTTTCTTGTACTGGACAGTGATAACACCCGCTAAGTGGTCGATGAATTAAGCAAATTTAAGTCAGTTCTTAAAATTTTGTATCTCCGGTGGATCTTGCATCCCATCTTTGCTGATGAGCCTCTTCGAGTCCCAGATCATTGGACGAGTGCTTCCTAGTACCATCATATTCCACCTGTGCAGACTGAAGGGAATTGTTGCAGCAAAAGCATTTACTGTTGTTACGGTTAAGCTCGAAATCAGCCTTGGTAAAATATTCAACCATGGAATCGACAACCCCAGCCATGAAACACAACCCAGGGATAATCCATTCAGAAGGTTGAATTTTCATCATCACTTCTGGAACAAAATCTCCGAAGCCCACGGTAGTCAGAGTGATGAACCATACATACACACCCTGCCTAATGCTCCAGCCGTTAGTGGCTTGTGATGCTGCTGCTGCAGAGAACACAATGGATGTTAGCACGAAGATGTTGCCCAATAGAACCTTCAGTTCAAGGTTTTTACTCTCATTTTGCTTTCTACAGAGGCAGTTTTCGAACTTTGTTATAAGCCACTTGACCTTGCTGTTGTATCCCTCGCCAATGGACTTAAGAGTGAGAATCGTTAGAGGTATACCAAAAATGGCATATACGATCGTAATAATCTGTCCCGCAGCGGTCCTTGGCGTGATGTTTCCATAACCTGCCAAATAAAGATGTTACTTGTTTAATGCTTTGCTAAAATGCTATAAATGACTTACTAACTGTACTTTCCTAATGGATGTGACAGTAGCTTTGTAAAGGCACATAAAAAGCAAAGAAGATGGTAGTAATCTGTCTTGCAGCAGTCCCCAACGTGTTGTTACCTTAACCTGTGACGTTAAAATGTTTTTGTGTTGAAAATGCTGTAATTAACTGGGCACTTCGACAAAAAGCGAATAATTTAGATGTCAATGTATGTGTAATGTGTCTTCTCAATGGACTTTTGTGCAAGGTAAACACTGAAATAACAACTGGAAAAAAATTTGTTTTAAACGTAGTCACTAGAATGTATTTTCCCTAAATTAAGCAGAGGGACTTTCTAAAATAGAAAAAAAAATAGACTAGATGAAACATAGAGAAAGATGTTTTTCGTCTTATTACGAGCGTGGGACTAAGAAAAAATTCTGAGTCCCCATAAGGAATCGAATAGACGAAACATCATAATAATAATTATAATAATAATAATAGCCAATGCTTGTATGGCGCCTATCCGGCTCGCTCTAGGCGCTTCGTGATCTCAAAATATAAGAAAATATGAATAAATATTTACACAAAATTAAAATCGTTTAAGAAGGTTTTTAAAAATGAAAGATCTTAAGTTTAAATCTAAAAGTGATACCAGTCTGGGGACAGAAGGAAACATCTCGATCACTACTTGAATTAGAAGAAATACATTTGTTACCAATGCGTTTTAAGTAGAATGGGTATAACATGGATCGTAGAATTAATAAAGTTTGTTAGAAACGGTAGGAATTTTTTTTCTGCTTACTCTTTGCGTTTGATAATGAACGAATGTTCTGACTACAATTTTCCGCGGACCAAAGTTTTGAAATGACCCTCATGACACTGAAGGACAGGCAGCTCTTCAGTAATGAATCAGAGAGTTTCATAAATTAGCAAGGGTTCAACTAAAGTCACCGTGAAATTGAACTAGATTAATATTCCACTTGATACTTTCGATTCTTTGTGTCGTGGACATTCAAGGTTTGATGTGTTTGGCTATTAATTGGGAGCTAAAACTAGAAAAGGGAATAACATTATCTTATGCTGGAAAGTTAAATGTTATCGTAAGAAATGTCACAGGCGCTTGCAGGTGTAACTTTTGTTGTGGATATTTACAAAAATGACATTTGCAAGCAATAACCGCATAAGGCTTTTACCAAGAAGTATACAGCCTACATAAACGATAAAGTGGTTTAGAAAACCATAGCCATTGCATACCAATTGTAGTCAAAAGCTGCAGTGTAAAACTGGTACCATTTTCAAAGCTCCATTCCGGCAAATTTGCATACGCTGTTGTCTTCAATTTGTTGACGAGTATTCCAAATTCATCATCAGTCATATTGTATTTATCCATCGTTATATTCTTTAAAATTTCCAATTCAGCTTTATTTTTCTCGATCTGTTCTTTCGTCGGTTCTTCTTCTATCATCATGAACAGGAAAGCGCCGCCGTAGAGAAAACCCAAGAATAAAGAGAAACGGATTAAAAAAATTTTAGTTTCTTTGCTCACACAGTTAGATCGGCATAGATAACTCATTTTCGTCCTGTTTCGAGTCGATACACATTTACAAATTTAAACAGGAGGATGGCGTGGTGGCTACTTAATTAAACGCCGTCTTTAAGGAGTATGATATTACTCTGCGTGAAATATGAAGTTATTTGCATCTCAATAGTCAAGCGAAGTAAAAATTTGTTTCAATCCCCAGACACCTGCTCAACTATAATTGTAGGAACAAACGACTTCGCAAAGAAATTTCAAAGGTTATCAAAAGTATCTGAAATAGTCGTTTATCAGTGACTGGAGAGTATTAATACACGGAATGTGTTTCATCTTCCCTCCCACATTCTTCATACACAAAATTAGGCATATTGTGTTCTCTTCATTCACTTACAAACGTTACATCACGATATTCTCCTTTAACATGTTGATATATCAATTAACTCTATTGATTACAACCTAAGTGACGGCCTTAAGGGAAGGTAGAAGTCTTTCCGTTGAAACACACATTAATGTCATCGATGTCGTTGATGTCATTTCCGTCAAATTTTCGTCAAGTTGACAAATTTAGGAAATTTTGTTTCGTTATACTATTATTATCCTTAACATAAATCTTTACGAAGGAATATGAAGCTTTGGAAAGGAAAAAATTACGGTAGCCAAACGCAACTCATACAATACAGCAAATTCGTTCTCAGTTGGTCATATTTTTGTTTTAAGAGCGATGGTCAGGAAATATCGACCAAAATCTTAATTTCGTGGCAAGAGTTGAAAAATCGCTTTCTTTCGTTTTTTGTCCATAAATAGCTTTTAGGTGGATAAGATACCTGATGTGGATTATTCCCGCCAAAAGCCTTTTATTTTTTAGAAAAATTAGAATATCGGTTTTTGTGGTCGGAGTCACAAAATTGGCTAATCATTTACGTGAAATTTGCATACATCAACTTGCCTCTCGTTCGCAAACAAAGTCGCACGGAGAAATTTGGACACTTTATTTCAACAGAATCACCGTTCTTCTTAAGAAACTGTTAAGGTGGTCAATAGGTTCTTCCGACTTCATTCCTGTAGTGCTTGTCTCGGTTTCTTCTAGGAGGGTTGATGGTAAATATAATGACGATTCTTGCTCTAGTAAGTCATGTGCTACCACCGAACAAGGAGTACTTGCAGCAATTCGAAGGTTACACATCACGCCCTAGACAAGGACGCAAAATAAATATAACGTAAGCTGTATTGAAAAAAATTAATTGGGTACGTAATTATCAAAGTTAACCAACACTTAGACAAAGATCAATAATCCCTCCTGATCTTTGTTGCCTTTATTATGGACCAAAAATAAGGCCTTTTTTGCTGCCTTCATTTATGATAAAAAGTGCCTAATTCATTACATAAAATACCTTTCATTAAGACAAATAAGTACGAACTTTAAAGCGAGTGGTAGAGGAACCCGGAGTGGTATATTGGAAACCCGAAGCGTTTTTCTGGGCGTTATTCACCGTATCCTTAACCTTGAGAAAATCACACGAACTCGTATCCCAAGCGGTATAAAGTGGAGGGATGCGTGTGTGTAGGTGGGGGCAAGTGCAAGCAAAAATGCAGTTTTTTTTAAATGAACCCTTTATTCTTAAAAGAACAACTTGGCCTCAGCTTACCATCGCGGACTACGTGGTCTTTAACTTGTTGCCACTGCTTCAAATTCTCAGATTTTGGTGAGAATAAAAATAGAAAATCCGCTGAATAAATTTTAACTGTGTGCAGACGCAAGGGCGCCATAAAATGCACGGGGTATTAAACCTCTTCATTATCTGCGGAACTCAGGAAAAACTGACGTAGAAAGCACAAAATAAGTATATGGCATTGTTTTCTTGGATACCAGCACACAGTTTGAGGTCTACGAAATCGGTTAATTTGTGCTCTCTATCCTTATTCGTTACATTTTAAGGAAAGGCAGCAAGGAAACGGGGCCCGCTCATGCAGACTTTGTGATGATAAGGTCCCTATCCATTTTTTTTTTTTTTTTTTTTTTGCCCCGCGGGCCTTGTTTGGTGCCACTGTTAATAACACTATTTCCATTGAGTGCCAGTTCAGAACTTACAGAAGTCTCAATGGTCTCAGTTTCCTCGTAAGAAAGGTTCTTGGTCTCCGGAAGCTTTGTGGGCAGCTCCCCTATTTTCTGCATATCAAGATTAACCCGGCAGTTGCGACAAATACCTGTTGAGTGAATCGATGGAAAATACAGGTTTTTGCTGATACGATATAATCACTATTCTGAACAACTACGGTCTTAATTTACACAAGTAAGGGAACCTGTTTTAATAAACTTAAATGATAGATTTTCCTGCCCTTTCATATACTTCAACTCTTCAATTCCCTACCCTTTGATATACCTGAAGCCTGATAAAGGTACCCTTTAGGGGCTGAGTCTCCCTGTAACTATCTATAGGCCATCGGGGAATCTGCTTTAAAAAGCTGTAACATATCAAACTCTTTCCCCAGTGCGACGAACATTTGTTTTTCTCGGTTCCAGGTGTACGCAACCACTAACCTCACGTAATGCGCATGCTCTCCGTTACGAATTTTCAAAATGGCGGACAGGTCAAAGAGGAAAATTAAAAAAAACAAAGCGATTTTGCAATGAATTCTCAACATACACCCTCGTCAAAAGGCGAATCCACGGAAGAAAGATACAAAACTGTATGATATTGAGATCGATATGATATTAAATCGATACCGAGGGCCCGTTTAATTGCCTTCCGCCACGATTATTAGCTTTCTTGACAGCTTTCTGAAGACAGAATACTTTCTTTCTGAAGACTTCTGATATGCGGCTATTGATTATTACACCTCGTATACCTGATTGCTCAAACACTTTGTTTACGATTGTTAAAAGGACCGACTCATGGTTCTCCGTCTTCGTCTTGACATTGCTTTGAAATAGTATAGACTAGTAAGCTGAAACGAAAAATTAATCAGGGAAGTTTACGAAAAATCCAGCAAACAAGCTTTAAAAAGGCATTTATTTAGACTTCATACTTCAACGAACTTCACAAATCTTACTTGTTTATCTTGTAAGTAAACGATGGCAGATTAATTCCCGAAGCGCTTTCTGAGTTTCCCGATCCCTCTCCTACTGCTTTCACGCTTACAAAACAGGAAAAATCAAAAGGAGGAAGATACAGCTGTTTTGAAACGCCATTTGACGAAGGTAAATCTGCTTTTTGTTCGACACTTTACATATCAAAACAAAGGAAATTTGTTTCTCTTTTTGATTCTGGCGGTACATTTTTAATTTGCGCCTGCGTAAAAGAGATATCGCCCGAGACCCTTCGCTCGGTCGTGTTTTGATCAAAAACACCTTGTTAATTTCACGCAACCGCTCGGAGAAAAGGTAAAAATGACGAGGGAAAAACTTTACCTTCAAGTTAGAAAATTAGCGAAATAGAAAGCCACAATATTATAGTTTAATATTTCAGAGGTACATTGAGTGCTTTTTCCGTAGAGAATCCGCACGATGGTAAAACATTCGAAAATTACACTCGATTTGAGTGGGGTGTTGAAGTGGGCGTGGTCACTACATTCATGTTAAGACTATTTGTACCCCATGAGTTTGATATGTTTAGGAGTCCGGTGAAGGCTTCTAAATTTACCTTTTTGCTGCTACAATCACTAATATAAAATGTTAGAATAATGAAAGGAAAAGAAACACGTAAATAAACAAAGGCTATTGAATTTGCGACCGTCACGGCTACTTAATTATTGAAAAAGTCAAAATAAAAAAAAAAGAAAAATGCTTACAAAGTGCTTTTATTGAAGTGTCACTTTGGACCGCCATTTTAGAGCTGGTCTGTTTGGTTGAAAAAGATGAAAAATGATGTATACATACCTGAACCAACTGGCATAAAAATTCCCAGTTTCTTCCATATCAAATAACAAGCACTTTTGCCAAGTCCTCTTTCTGCCTTTGCGTTTTTTTGGGCTTGTCCGCCGTGCTTCGAGATTGGCGGAGGAACTCGGCACAGATTCGATCCTCGACGCCACCCAATACCGAGGGATGAGCAGTGCCGGGGACAAATTGTTAATTCCGAAAGGTCTAACTCCGAAGAAAAAAGGATGTAGATACTCTTCCCAAAATAAGTTCGATTTCGGTTTCTACGTCAGTTATTGACAAGGAAGACTTATGACCCGCGATGTCTCTTTTGCAGTTCAGAAATGGAATAAGCTCAGTTGATCTGCTCCTATCTCTGGGGTCATAAGAGCAAGAACCGCCGACTAAGGAGCTGAAAGAGTACTTAACGTCCATGATGACACAAAACTGGCAAAATAAATTCACTCCAACTTCGCTAATTAAATTTTCCCTCTTTGCATTTAATTGACTAATTCAATTTACCACGGCTAGTAAACTGCTTCGAGCTTTAGCCAACTCTGTCATTTCTTCAACAAATAATAAAAATGAATCCTCACAATTGAAGAAAATATCAATTTAAAAAGCATCTATTATTTTTTTCTTTCTGTTCCGATTCTTCTGAAACCAAAGGAAGCGAAAAAAACAAGTATAAAAGTTAAACAGGTTAGCCGAGAGCTAATCAAATTACATCCTGATATTTATCAGGGAAAACATCTTACACTGAAAAGGAAAACTTTCACCTTAACAATAATAAAAAATAACCCCTCTTCGGCCGATTGCCTTATTTTCAATAAAAAAGGACGAAAAGCTCACACCAGAATCGTTTTCAGTACGCTTTCGTGTATATTCCGGCCTGCTGTGTAAAAACTCCGCTTGACGTTACGGTCACGCAACAAGAATTGTTTACTCAGTCGTTGTAAAAAATTTGAATGAATTACTGTCATTTCAAAACCTTCGCGTGAGGCGCTGTAAAGGAAACCCGTGCTGATTCTAACATATTAGAGAAGACAACCTTAAATCCCTCTAATGACATAGTTAAAAGGAAAATCTGAATTATACCACATAGTGAAAAAAACATTTGAATTAAGGAGGTATTTGCGGGATTTTTCACGTTTGAAAATACAGCACTTTCCTGCGCGTTGTTTGCTATTTATGAACAACAATACAGATAAGTCATATAGTTTCAGGGAAAGTACGGCACTCACTCTATCAAAATTCGGCGTCATGATCCTTTGAATCGTTTTTCCTTGAAGACCAAAAGTCAGTTTAAAATATCAATTTCACATTTGCTTGCGGGACCTTTCGGGATCGTCGCGGGTCAAATTCGTTTTTCTCAGTTTTCTCAGAATTAAAGCGCTCCGGAAGAAAAAGAAATACATTAAATTTCTTCTATTCTTAGTAGCTTTTTATAGTCAGAAAATAAGCGAAATTCATTTTTCAACTCTTGCCACTCAATGGTCGATATTTCCTGACCGTCCCTCTTAAAAAAATTAAGGGTGGTATATCAGAAGATAAAAGCTAAATATGTAAAATGCATTTAAAGGTTTTGATTATATCAGTGATTCGTTTCCTTTATATTGACAACACATACTTCATATCCTACCATTCGAGGCCTACAACTAAGAGTCACTTAAATAACTGAAGAACGATACTGATACATTCAGTGATGATGGAAATAAAGGTGACATATTTTCAGCCTGGTATACAGTTACTCTTAAAAAAAACGAAAAAGAAGAAGAAGAAGAAGAAGAAGAAGAGGAAGAGGAAGAGGAAGAGAAGAAGAGGAAGAGGAAGAGGAAGAGGAAGAGGAAGAGGAAGAGGAAGAGGAAGAAGAAGTAGACGATTAAAAGCCTTTATTGTTAGAAAGTTGGTACCGAAATCACTCAGATTCTAAGAACACATCAAGAACCTTTTTTCGCAACTAGAGGTATAGATAAAAGTTTAAATAGATTTGAAGATTGATATCCGACAGGGCAATTATCTAGAATCGTTAAGGACACGATTTTTCCTATTCCGATATACACTGAAACACACTTCAATTCGTATTCGAGTTTCATGGCTTTAGGAAGACTACTGAAAGCTCTATGAGGATAAAGCATGCAACTATTGATCAAAACATGTAGGCAATAATGTGCTGATTGGCCCATGGTATTGTGTTTTGATGATAAATGCAAAAGTTCTTCGCTGAATAACTCTTCCCTTTTTCTAAATGCTCTTCGACCTCACTGACCGTTTTCGTTTCACAAGATCAGTCACATTCTTCTTTTCAACGATTTCACATTCCATGGCGAAGTTAGCTTCATACACGGCAGACTTTCTATTAATTCGCCTTACGAAACTTTTCGACCACATGGCCAATTCTTTACGTGCTAGGGACGCAGCTTTCATCTCCTCCTGAAACAACGCTAAGGCCAGCCAAGGTAAACAACGCCGTGAAGAATATGAAAACCCATAATATTTCTTTCCTTTCAGTACGTTGGTCTATGTACTGGAATGGGATGTAATCACCAAATCCAATTGTCGAAATTATGATAAACCACGCATATATACCCCTGACAAAGGTCCACTTTTCAATGTAAATTTCTACAAGGCTTCTAAGAACGAGAAACAGAATCATTAACGCACATGTTCCAAGAAATGTTTTAAGTCTGATTCTGTGAACCTGTTTGACTCTGAATAACAATTTCTCTATTCCTAAAATGAGCAACCGTATGCAATTGGCGATAATCTCACCCATTGTCTTCAGGGCCAGCATGGTTAATTGTATACCAACCAAAGCATGAAGCACGGTCAGCAGTTGGCCCAGGTCTGTGTCTGGAGTCATGTGACCATACCCTAATGACAAAAGAAAGCACTATCACGCAAAAGGACGAAAACATGCTGTTTACAAACAGCGTTGTTTAAGTATACCTGGAAAGCATTCCAAAACAAGTAATCGCATTACAAGAACAAATAAAATCTTCCCAGTCGGAATAGGTGTCACACGAGAACTTTCAGTCGGTCTATTCACTTTTAAAGATGAAGTAAATTTGCAGAAACGCAGCTTTAATTTCCAGTATACGCACCATACCGTTCAATTGTACCAATGATGTCATACTTTGTAATCAAAGCTCTTATCTCGATGATTATTTCGTTTTGAATTATACTTTTTGTTATGGTGAATAAAAATTCTCCTTTAGGAAAATCTTCATTTCTAGTAGGAACCTCACGATTCGATTCAACTTACTTATTGTCATTAAAATGGTAAATACGTAGAAGTAAGCAATGAAAAAAATCCCTTCCACTTTACTTCAAATTCAAGAAACTTCATGCATGTTTTGTACAAAAACAGAAAATTCGGAACGTCAAGGCTAGGCACCCACGATAAAGTCCCCCTAGCAAGTCAAAAGAAAACTATCGATAAGGTTTTGAGTTGTTGGTGTCTTTTCGACATATTTAGACAAACAAGCACAGAACATAGCGTAAGATGATCAAAAAAATGGCTCATTACGTACAAGAAGGAAACCATAGATTCAGTTTTGTTAACAAAGAATGCTTATCTATATGCAAAGTAAACCAAGAATTCTTCATCACGAAAACCTGACATCTAGAGCCTCAAGACTTTCTAGATTTATGACTGAAGCGAATTTGCAGGAGCACAAGTTAGTATTCCCTAGAATTCAGTAACTTCGGACGAATCGCCAACATCTGTTCAAAAGAAGTCATTTTGTGGTACCTTACAGCCTAATTGCGCTGCTAATATCATACTTCGTGGTCAATGCTAATGTCAAAGTCACTCGTTTCATTTCCATATCGAATCAAAAGGTTGTGTTTAGTAGGTACTTTTCCTCTATAAGTTTTGAACTTATGATTAACTCACCTATCGTTGTTAAGATAGTAAACACGTGGGAGGAAGCATTTAAAAAAGTCCATTCTACTTTCCTGCCAATTCTAACAGCTTCATAAGCATTTTGTACGAAGACGATGAATTCATAATGATTCAAAGCCGGATATTTCTGGCGAAGTTCCCTTAACATGTCAACAGAAATCTCTTTGTAAGTTTTCGGTGTCTTTTTTACCTATTTAAACAGCCAGGCACCAAACATGGCGTAAGATGAAAGAAGGAAAATTCTCCGAAGAGCCTTGATGAGAAGTTTCCTTATCATGCTGAGAGCTTGTAAAATGAAAAGAGGATGCTCTCTTCATTTGCTTTGTTTTTGCTGTTGTCATGCTAATTGGTTTCGACGGCTCTTTGTCATTAGAGGGAATGTGCGATTCAGAGTCGTCTATTCAAGGGATATCGGTTATCAATACGGCATATCGTCCATATCATATGATACGTAAATTGTTCGGTATTATCTCGTGAAAAGAATTCCGACCAAAAATGTGAGCTGAAATAAATAGTTTCCAAAGTCTTTACATCGAAATCATCCAGTGCGTCTTTACTAGTGTTCCAAAATGTACCCACACTAACCATCTACCAGTCGAAAAAAAGCCTATGCTCGCTTAGCCATCGGAGTTTAAAGAGAATCGGCAATGGAGCCTAGCAAATCAACTTGGCGCGGATATCTTACATCAAAATGGTTCTTAACAGTCTCCAGAGGTTTAGTATCGCTCTCTCACGAACATTATAGGATATGTATGATTAAATATTGGCCGATAATAATTTTGTACCTTATGCAGCATGGTTTTGCCGTGTTTGCAGTTTATGCCTTGGTCTATTGACATTTTCAAACTCCTTTCTAAAGATATTCCAGTGTCGCCGAAAAAAGGAAAAATTTCTTTGAACTTATGTCCGAGTGCTCTTTCTTTGTTGGAGATTTATGCCAGGATCGTCCTCTTGGTTGGCTTTGCTATAACCTTATCGAAGATCTAAGCTGAACCTCTCCATAGCACGTTGTTTGTTCAGCTTGCACGGAAGATAATAAACCGAATGGAAATTTGGTAAAAATGATAAATTTCACTTGAATAGCCCGGCCCGCTTTTATGCAAATGTAAGTAAAGGGGGGGGGGGGGGGGGGGGGGGGGGGGGGTTTGGGGAGGAGTTCTGTTATGGCAATCATTGGAAAAACAGGTGGGACTATGGGTGCCTCGCTCTGAAGTATTCGGGACAGCCACTTTAATTTTATCACTATAACTGATTCCTCAGTGTCGAACGATTTTTTTTTAAACTCTCCCTACATATTCCCCACCTCCGTTTCGAGAACTACAAAAAAAGAAAGAAGAAAGGTCACCGTGCTTGCTAAACAGAAATAGTGGGCCAATCTTATATGAGACACTTTTTCCATACCACAGTAGCTTTCTCTCAGTCTAGCTTTCCAGACAGTCTGTCTTTGCCGACAACAGCAGCTATTTTCCCCAGGTGACCGAGTTTTATATTTCCATTTACAACGTATTCTAAACCATCCCGGAAGGCTACAACACAACTATTCTAGAAGAATAATCATATTTTTATAAACTAATAAAACGTTCAAGCAAAATTCCATGGTGTGACATCAGAAAATTCGAGTATCCAAGTCACCGTGACCAGGCGTTCTAGAAATTCAAAGAAATTACTGTTTTACAGTCATTTCCCAAATCATACATCATGATGCTTAGAGTGTAAGAAATACGAACTAGAAAAGCTTAAACAGAAGCAGATCGTGGCCTTATGTTGCCCTCCTTATACCTCGCTTCTCTGTAGCTCTCCAATAAAACTCGTCTAAGGATCAATTCGGCTTGGCGACCTTGACAGGTCCTCTTTTTGTTCTTGACATTTTTGTAGCAAGCCGTAAGGTGAAATCGGAACTCTGCGAGCGCTTCAACGAGTGAATTTAGTAGACCAGAAACTACTGAGAGAGCCGCCAGACTTGGCAAAGATAGCGAGTAAAGAAGAAACCAGAGGCCATTCAGAGAGTTTCCCTTTCCCTTCAGCAAATTCCACATGGGAACATAGTCACCATACCCGATGGTAGAAAGTGTAGCAAACCATGCGTACAGGCCTTCGGTAAAAGTCCAGCCCTCCACATACTTTTGTGTGAGTCCACCAGCACATAATGTCAAAAACATCAGAATTGACGTCAAGAAAAAACTTTTCAATTTTATGTTTGTGGGTCTCTCTCTGCAAAGCACTCTTTTCTCTATTACGCATACGATTCTGTGAACAATCCTTGAGACTATCTCTCCAAACGTTTTCAAGGTGAGCAGTGATATAGGAAGCCCAAAAAGACAGTAAAGTATAGTGAGTAATTGACCGAGTGACGTTTCTGGAGTAATATGGCCATATCCTGGAATCAAAGATAAAAAAAATAAATAAAAACATGACTCAGCACAATGGGATGAATTGATGGACTGACTTTTCTGCTCCTACCTCTTACTGTCAACAATAGAGTTAATTTTCTTTTCTATCTTTCAGCGAGACAAAAAAGTGTTATGATATGCAGGACTTCAAGACTGCAGCTTGAAAAATATGCAGTATGATGTATTGCCCCTCTTAAGTGCGGCAAAAAGGGAAAAGTTTTGGAGATATGTTAAGTTCTGGGTCATCATCAGCGAAGAAAGAAACGAAATTTAGTCAAAATTAAAATTAATCTTTAAAATTACCCAATAATTAACGGTCATGGTATAATTTCGATCGTTTCATGTAGATCGCAATGAACAAATGGAAGATCCCCCTCACCCCCAATCCTCTCCCCCTCCAAGAAAAAGTTATAAAGAAGATCATTCTAACAGATTAATTTTTCTTTGGTAACAGTGGGTCTATCGAGGCACCAAGATAAAAGCTTCTTGGGAACATATGTCGAAGATCGGGGAGTCATGCTACTTGTAACTAACGGAATTAAAGTCAGCATCTAGCCAGTCACCTACCAATTGTTGTCAAAGTTGTTATTGTGAAAGTCATACCAGTGAAAATACCCCAATCCGGTTTAGTTCCCACATGAACGGCATCAAACGCTTTCTGCGCGAAGCGTCGAAAATGACTTTCGTTAATTGAGATGTTGTACTTAACTGCGAATCCACGCTGAAGCTCCCTCAATAGCCTTGAAGACAATTCTTGGTTTCTTTCAGGCTTTCTTTCAATATAGTAAAATAAACAGCCCCCAAGGAACACGTAGACATATAGAAGAATTCCTCTCCAGAGACTTTTCTTGAGAAGTTCCTTCATGGTTTTGTTGTTTGTAATGCTTCCTACTCATAAAACGGTAGAGAATCATATTAAATGTATTTTGTTGCCAAGTTAATTAATACCTCAACTAAGTCAACAAATATCAAAATGCAACCTCGTTAGAAACGTCAAAAGAATGCATTTGAAAATATACTCACCCCCGATTTGATATCTATCAAGAAACGTATAAATTTTATCCTCTCTTGTATTTATCTGGTTGAGTTGAATAACAGGAAAAACATCGGTGAAATGGCAGGAATTTCATATCTTCTAAGTATAGGAGAATTCAACCTGTGAGTGAAAAAAAGTTTATCTCAATTTTTCTTTGACCTAGATCATTATCATTTTATTAAATGTCAAATCAACATATCCCGTACTTACGCTTTGACACTCACGACATCAAAGCTTTGTAACCGAACGGTCTTTTATCCATTAAAACCGACCCCCTTGCATCTGTCACTTTTAATGCATTCAAAGTGTTCATGAAAACCTTTTGTACATGTATTTTTCAAGAATCGAAATCGAAAGATATGTCAAATAAAATAAATATGCATCTTTTAGAAACTACACTTTTCACTTCAAATACTAACTTAGCTCCTTAGATAAACAGATGCCCATGTTGTGGGCATCTGTCTCATTCCAGTTCATTTGTACTGTAACCAGGTAGATTTCATAGGAAGCAAGTCAGATATGTCCAATAATTTTTCGCGACGTGTCAACTGCTTTCAACCTCAGTGACTTCATGATATTTTGAGAAACAGAAAGATTGACAAAGAAGGGGAAATATGGACAAAGATGGTTAAAGATCGAGAGGATTAGAAAGGATTGCGTTTAACGAGCTAAGAAATTTTCCGTAGGTCACAAGACGTAAAGGAATTATCTTAAACGAAATGCATCGAGCATGCCTGCAGTCTGTCGATCTCCTTTAAACGTAAAACACCAACGTATTTGAGTTGTAGTTAACATGTAAAGAAACACTTCCATATTTGAACCAGCATTCGTCGTCTGTTTAAGACCAAAACATGACCTTGGGCTAATCAAAGAAAGTTGTGGAAGATAAACGTTTGATAGACAGGATGTAATATCCTCACATGTCTGTCAAAAATGAATGTTGAGCCAATCGCTGAATTAGTGCTGCCAGAATACATGAGCAATAAACAAACAAAGAGGAATGACAATAGGACCTGAAAAAGATTCAGGCTCCTACGGGATTTGAACCCATGACCTCTGCGATACCGGTGCAGCGCTCTACCAACTGAGCTGACAAGCCGGTGCACTTCACCGCAATGCAAAAATACGAATTTCATATATCTATAATCATTATTCATCACTTGGATGGTTTATTTGGACCCAACATATTGACCAGCTCCCAGTTCGCTTGTTAAGCTCAGTTGGTAGAGCGCTGCACCGGTATCGCAAAGGTCAGGGGTTCAAATCCCGTACGGGCTTGAATTTTTTTTTCAGGTCCTGTTGTCAACTACTAGTTCAGTTGTGTTCTTGGCTGCGAGGATCTCTTAAAATTCGTTTCTTCACCGCAGTGCAAATATATGAATTTCATATATCTAAAATCATTAAAGAGGAATGAGTTGTTTCAAATGAAGTGTCTATCGCACAGGATGCCTATTGTTCTCGTGATGTTTATTTGCATTAGCGAAAAATTATAGATCTGGGCCCAGTTGTAAAAAAAGGCGAATGACGCTACCCAGTGGATAAATCGCTATCCGGCGTTATACAGCCTTCGAACAACCGGGGCTTATAATATTAGCAGCGAAGCGTAATCTGGAGAGCTTTGATCGGTCAAAGATTAGGAGGGCTTTCCTCCCCAGGGAACATTCCTTTAGCTCATTAACTGTTCAAGGCCGAGAAACAATAGCTTAGAAGGTTATTGTGCCTGCTATTGTTAGAAAAAATCACACATTACGTGCATGGGTTGCAAGCTGGATGAGTGTTCGATTTTGAAACCATTCGATTTATCTCTTTCTTCGTAGTACTAAACAAACACTTCGGCTCTGTCATTACCCGTTTAGGATTCGATTCTCACTGCAAAAATCCACCCGCACAATTTTTCTTTGATAGTAAGGACGTAATGAAATATAAAAGTCACTTTGACACTTGTTTCTTCGAAATGAGAAAAAAAGTCACACACTGCATTAAGTTGAACTCACGTAGGGACAAAATGTACCGCCTTACAATTCGGTTTTCTCGTTTCTTGTGTGGGAGGCCAGGCTTACACCCTAGTTTCACCAAACTAACTTGCGGGTTTTCGAAGATTTCGGCAAGACTGCGAAAGTCTCTAAATTGCTACAGGGCCTCTCCGTTCATTTTGAGATAAAAGAGTAAATCAGAGCCTCCGATCAAGGGTGAACAAACATGAAGAAAGGCGGAATTGGTCGGGGATTCTGTGAACTCTTAAGAGAACTCCCGATCAACCTGCTGCATTTCTTGGACGGAACACATCTCGATCATTGGCGTCAGGGAGAAAAGTTTCTCATAAATGAGAACAAGGCTGTAGTTTGAGAAAACTTGCAATTGTGCGCACATAATAGTCTCAACAAAAGCCAATGAGAACGCAGTTGCCAACTGTTAGGTTACAATTTACACAATTGTAAACTATAGCTTTGTACGTCCTTTTTTTATTTACCAGTGTCAAACACTATTTACGCGGCATTGGCTAGTTTCGTTCCTCAAATGTCTTTACACGAAAAAAAAACCTGTCGTTTTTATCTTTGATTCCTTTTTATAAAGTTGTTGTAAACCGTTTATTTTAGCTCCTCTTGATCAATGTCAGCCTATAATTCCCCTTCTTCAAAAGCCATATGATAAAGTTGTGTGTTCAAAGTTATTTGAGTGAACACAAGAAAAACATGCACCCTTCTGATGACTTTCAGGCCATTTTCTCTCTTTGTGTCGTGGATGTGTCGCAGCATTCTAATGATTTTCATTAGTGAGATATTTGGGTCTTTCTTGTCACATATTCGTGCATCAGTCATTTTTCCAAGGATATAGGTCAGTAATGAATCATATGTGTCAATTATATCTATCTGTGTATTGAAATTAAGTAGTTCGCACCGCAGTGTGTAAAAAGGATGAAGTTTAACCGTAACTTAAGCTGCACTAATTACTCACTAAATGGAATTGACACAAACTCCACACAAACGACTAGAGAACTCATCAACATTTTTTGTTTCAATTATCTTTAATGAGACGACTAATGCCCTAAAGGCCAACTGCATTAAGCGAGATTTGGCTGTGCTCGTGGGGTGCGGGAAAAAGAGGACTCATAACGGCTGTAACTTATACATTTTCATGATTTGCACTCACATTGCTAATTTAACTTGGCAATGAGGTGCTCTGATAAAAGCAAAAGAAAGAAAATCTGAGAAAAAGGTTTATTCTTATGCAAAGATATTTTCAAAACTAATCGGTTTTTTTTAGAGGGGACCAACCACCATTTAAATAGAAAAGATTACGAACTTTGTCCATTTTCGTGAGATTTTGTTCGCACATTGTCACGGCAGCTGTGTTTATGTGCCACCGAGTGCCGCTAGAATATATTTAAACATCGAATAAAATGTCAATCGTGTTACGATTGCCCGAAGAACAACATTTATTACAATATGCTTCGAAAAGGAGTTTTCAAACTCTCATTCTCGTACACAAGTGTTTACAAACTTTAAATGGACCTGGAAACATTTTATTTTGTTCTTATTCCAAAAGAAAGAAAGTCGCTTGAAGGATTTGCTCGAATATAACAGATAAGCGAGTTTTATTTTCAATATTGGCTAAAAATTACGAGGAATTTGTGGAATAAGCCCATTTGATGCGTCTTGTTTGCTACGTGGTCAATAATGAGAAAAAGTAAGTCACCACAATGGTTTTTCACTCACCTTATTTTTTAACAGCCTGCTTAATCTTGTTGCCGCATTAGATGGACAAACAGCGTCTGATGGCACGTTTTCGGCACATTTAAGATGTCGGTATTATTCATATTAAGACCAAATGTTTGTATGTGACTCATTGACACTTTGAATTATTCATCATAACCACCAGCTTATTCATTTGCATTGTCAAAGGTTTTTAAAAGTTCTCTTAATTGCAACGTAGTGGAGAAGCAAGGAAAAGGTTTGAAGATTATTAAGATTAGGTTCATTCCAAGTTCAGTGCCTTACGGATTACTATGAAGAATAAATTGGACTAATTTGATTTATATTTTATTATTTTCATCACCATTCCTGATACTTTCGTATATTTTTTTTCTTTCTATTACTAAGTAATGTGGTAATTGCTATCATTTTTTTTTTTGAAACAAACTAACGTGCAAAAATTGCCCAGCAATAAAAGACATTACCATGGAAAAGTCGGTAAAACAAGAGAAATACTAATCTCGATCGTTATAAAAACATTCTTGTTAAAAAAAACTGTATCCTAGTGCGTCTTAAAATGTATTTGGTCGACTAAACAGTAGTCGATCTTTCCCTTTCGCTACAAGCGTATAGGGACTCGAATTTTCTGTGTTTTTCTTGTGTTGCACCACCTGCAGACTTTTTCTTCTTGCGTTTTCCTTTAGATTTCTCAGACTTTCTCCTTCTGCATGCAGGACATCGAGAACAAACGTTACATTGTATTTTGAATTCATTATAAGCTTCAACAAGTGAATTAACCACACCTGAGACTACACAAAGTGTCGCCATACCGGGGAGGGATAGTGCTGTTATCAATATCCAAATGTCTGCTGCAGAGTCTTCGGCATTTTTCAATATTTTCCAACCAGGAACGTAGTCGCCGTATCCGATGGTGGAGAGTGAAGCAAACCATGCGTAGAAGCCTTCTATGAAAGTCCAACCTTCCAGGTATTTCCCTGCTAGAGCACCAATACATAACGTCAAAATCATCAGTGTGAAAGTTATGAAAAAGGTTTTTATCTTAACCTTCCGAGGTCTTATCCTAAAAAGTAATTTTGTCTCCACACGATAAATGATCTTATATACCATCTTGGCGATTAGTTCTCCGATTGACTTCAGAGCCAGCGTTGATAATGGCAGTCCCACAATGCAATAAATGACGGTGAAAAATTGTCCAAGTTGTGTTTCAGGTGTCATGTGTCCATAACCTGGATGTAAAGACAAAGAAAAAGTAGATGTGATTGGAAATGATGACGTCCACTTCGACCTTATAGAACTTGTGCAATCCGTTCTCTACAGTTTCCTGTTGTACTAAAGCAGACTAGCTGCTGTGGTATAATACACAGAATAAATTTTTCAAAAAATGAATAAAAGCTAAAAAAATCTCCCTCTAATATGTCGAGTATTTGCTCGTCTATCTTTGCGGAGGCTTTTTCAATTACACTTTGAAAATTTGAATACATGAGCCCGCGCGAGTGCTTAAGAGTTGAGTAACAAATGTCAAAATCGCGTGCTATTAACCCATAAGAGTTAAAGCTGGTAAATTAAAGGCGTTTTATAGTAAAACACAAGTTTGTTGCATATTGTTATTTTGCGCCTAGATTTTTTGGCATCTGGTTGCAATTCTATTCACAAACAAATAGATATCACGATGGAGTTAGTTCTCGCCAGGAGCCCATTGGACTCCTGGTTCTCGCTTTATCTTTTTTTCTGGCGTGTAGAACTAACACCCATAGGTGTCCTATGCGTCCTTCCTTGGACTAGTAGTTGATATGCATATGGCTACTGCTATGCATAATTTACGCAGCCAGTTGCTCTACCACTATTATTACTTCAACCACAGCAACTTCTACCACCACAAACACAACTTATTGAAATTCTTTATTACGTCACTTACCAATGGTGGTCAATGACGTCATCGCAAATGAAGTACCGGTTAAAATTCCCCAATCTGCTTTGTTGCCATTTCTTACAATCTCGAAAGCTGTCTGCATAAACCGTTCGAAATCACTCTCGTTCACGGATATATTAAATCTTTTTGTAAAGTTAAGTTGGAGCTCGTGCCTAAGTCTTGTATAAGCAATCCTGCTCTTCTCAGGCTTGTACTCAATGACATAGAATATACATCCTCCAATAAAAGCATAGACGTATAGAAGAATAGTTCTATGAAGACTTCTCTTAACAAGCTCATTCATCAGACTGTTTTGAACCTCTTTCACTAAAGTAGAACAAATGACAAGGTTAAATTTTTCTTTATTATTTGTACTTGTTTATGAGGGCTATAGCATGTTTAAGATCAGTGCCAATTCCATTTTTCGTCCACGAGTGAAAATAAATGTAGGAAAACTGAGAGGTAGATCGAGCAAGCTGATGTTGATATGTTCTGGTTAATATCTAGCTTACAGACTCATTGGGTACACACAGGTCATTACTTTCTCACCAAAATGGAAATCGCCAAAAAGTCTGGATAGCACTAGATATGTCACGAATTTAAGAAAACATACGACACTTTTAAAAACATGTACAAAGTTGAATTTAAAGTGTATAACAAAATGTTATTGGACAAAACAAACAATAGAAACAGAACAATGTTGCACTCTATGTTCTGATGAGTATTTTAGCATCGTAGATCACGCTTCCACAACTCTCCCACTTAAAATCGATGGGAGCAATCTACACATCATCAACTTTATCGTGTTAATTTAAAACTTTCCTTGCAATTGCATACATTGTTCTGTTTCTGAAGATGACAGAAGAACTGTCGAAACATGTTTCTAAAAATGTCGTATATTTTGTTAAAATTAAAATTAATTATTTTGATCGTTCGAAAAACAGGAGATTATGAGTTCAATCTACGCCGGCAAAGAAAAAGAAACAAATCAAGACCATAATTTATGCTTTTTATTGTGTCCCTCCAACTTTCCCATTTGTCGTCCATCAATTTTTTGCTTTTTGATGTCGGTAACACACTCGAAATGCATTGGACAACAGATCTTTTTCGGATTTGGTACAATTTTTACATACGAGCGGCGGAACATGCGTTTGATAGCGCACTAAAAGTATGGATGAATTAAAATGAACCGTTCATTACGTAGTCCATAATCGTAGCGAAATACAGTAACAAATATACGTATCATCGTTTTTCTCCGGAAAGATATAACTTCGATCCCTGTTTTACGAAATACTTACGTTCTTCAAACTCTTCTTCCTCAAATTTCTTTTTCTCTTTCTATGAAAAAGAGACCAAGACTGCAAAACAGACACCAATACTAAGTTCGCGATCGAGTTTGGATTAACTGAGGTTTATCTTTTGTCATAAGTCTTTTTTAACAAGTTCATCTTTACCCCTTCGTCTACATAAGTAAAATGTAGTTCTGAACTATCTTGCTATCAAACACAGTATATGTCTACGGCCAGCAGACGTTGCTCACCAGTTAAGCAAGAATTAAGACTCCCTGTGAGTGTTGCAAATTTACATGTGTTTATCCAAAAGAGCCATGAAAGACAGAATCAAGCGCAGTCTTCGGCAAAAATTACCTGTATCCTGTGGTGAGAAAAACAATCCCGGTGACCGAGTGGTTTGCTTGTATCGGGGTTTCTTTTTAGAGAATTGATCGATGCTTCAATGCAGCCTATCAGACAATCGAGTAGGATCATCATATCTCATTAATTTCTACACAGACAGTTTTTATGCTTTGATTTTCTCGATTGACTAAAAGTAGACCACTCGAGGCCTCTTCAAACGAGGCTAATAATCGAGCTGTCCTGGCAATTACGACTGTTTACCTTGGGGAAATATCAACCTTAAAGGTAGGCCAAGCCGAATTACTGGGCTAATTTTTCAGCGCGGATGACATTGTTATGGAAATTTTTAAGCTCGGGTACCGAGATGGGAGCAAGACGGCGCCAGCAATTCAAGTTTCCCCCGAGCAAAAGAGATAGCAGTCGCAGAAACCCATTTCTTTATATCAAAGGAAGTATTTTTGAAGTCAGCCTAGCTCGCACGGTTTGCGCAACGGTTGCGTTAAATAACTTATATGTACAGGTTCTGAGGTACTCGATTGCCACAGACCAATTAAAAATTATATACATTCTTAAATCTTTCTGACTGTCTCTCAGACTTGAAATAAAAGCTGTAAACGCAATCCCCAAGTAGAAGAACGTTTCTATTTGTTCTTCGGTTGGTAAAAAGCGTGTTCACAGGTGTGAGAGACCTTCGTTTTGAGCCGGAATAACCATCATCAACATTTGATTAACAGCCCTTTTGTTTTTCCACCTGCCGTGGAAAACCTCAAAAAATCCCTGCGACGAACATTATAGAGAAAAACATTGGCCTCTAGCCATCATACTAATGTGTTCCTTCGTTTATCTCCAATTTAACAGTAGCCTTATCTTCACAAAAATTGATTATTCCTCGTATTATAATCACAAATTAGCGAAGAAGAACGCCGAGCGACGAGTTTCCTGCTAAATGATTTTCGCATAACTTTAACCAAGAATCTGTACCATGGATACAGCTTTCGTTTGAAATTTGCAATGATTATTTGGCAGTGTATTTATTGCTAAATACGATTTAAAAATTTTAGGAAAAAAACGGAAAGTGTTAATAACATTCGCTCGATTGAATTTGCCAGTCCTTTTAATGAATTCATGCGCAATACAAGGCCCATCACCTGAGAGGCAATAAATGCAGTAAATTTTTGTAATCTTCGTCGACAAACACATACCTGAATTTTAAATCGGTATTGATCCAGAAACCACTTGTTTAGTCCAAAAGCGAATGTTAAAGGCTGTTCCTGTTTACTTCTTCTCGAATTTATGCAACAACCTGTTCGTGTCACGCTATCAAAGATGACATTCGTTAAGAGTCGATAATATTCACGAATCGCTCAAACATTACTTCAATTGAATGCGGCAGTTAAATTATTCATCAAACCCACTAATGTTTTTAATTGCAGTGCCACTAGTTCTTTGTTTATCTATCGTTTGTTCACATAATTATCGTTATGGTAAAATTGCGAACCAAACTTACAAACTTCCAGTTTCATTTCACGGGGATATTTGCCACGGATTTGTCCCATGTTGTTTTTTTCATTACCTGTTGAATAGCACTTGTCAGAGTTCTGTCAAATATATAACTTAAACAACACTTTGGAACTACCACTTTTATTGTCATTTGCATGTTGGTCGATCTGTGATCTCTATATTAGTCTATCTTTTTGTCTTCCGCTGTGGGGAAGATCTATTAACCATCTTTAAAGAATCGCTCTAGTAAATGACCTTCCTACACTGACATATACAAACTTTGGTCATAGTCATGTGCAAATGGCTCATAAGGATAGGTGCAAATAGCAGATTAATCTCTAATTCGCCGCGCACGCAAGTTTCCAGTCGCACATTTAAACCGCTTATCCTGAGAAGCGAACCTATTCCTATTTAATCTGAGAGACTCTCCACAGTGAGGTGCCATTAAAATTTGCCGCTTCATCTCTTATCAATAGAATATGATATCTAGGCTTTCTTCCCGATATAATGTAGGTTTATTTTAAAACAAAGTTTTAACTCGTGACTCAAAAAAGTTTACTCCCTCTTCTTTGGATGGAAAAAAATCCGAAGTCCGATCTCCAGTGAGTTTCGATGGTACAAGGCTGATAAGCGGTTAACAGTAATTCAACGCTGAACTGAGAAAGCACTGGATTGTAGTGTTTATAATCCTAATTTATTAGTCTATAATAAAAGCATGGAAGACCGATATGAATTTAATAAACGAGTAAGATGAAGTTTTCTTTTGGTCAATGAGAACTGAGATGAAATGGAGGCCATGAGGCCAACCTTGAAACTTATCATGATGTTTAAGGCCCGTATGATTAACACATATGCGTAATTGACCAAGCGTGAAGTCAAGATGGCTGGATATTGGCCGAGTTCCTTTTCTGAATTTCTCTAGACCTAGACGAAGTCGAGGTCCACAAGAATGCACGGAAAAATAGGACGAGGCGAATATCCAGGCATCTTGACCAAACAAGTTTGGTCAATGAAGGATTTATTACATAGCAAAAGATTTCGCTTAATTAAGAATCAAGAATGACTTGTTTATCTCGAGAGCCGGGAAAGAAAGCCAACTGTGACGTGCCTACAAGCACAATAAGCCCACGAGAGTTGTTTACGCTTTCTGTATACTTGCCTTGTTCGTTTATTTTGTCATCTGCCGCTTTTCGCGTCCCCATAGCTGACTTTTTCCAAGAATTACGAACTTTATAAGTCCGCTCCATGCAATGTTTTTTCTTGATGTGGATCAAAGCAAGCAATCCCAAGCGGGAAAGATGTGCCCTCCTCGCCCGCTTGGGTAGGCAATCGAAACACAGGATTCGCTTTATATTGCCCTCTTTCGCTGCCAGAGATATAATAAATGTTAT